TTGCTCACAATCACTCCTTACTCTTAGCACACTTGTTTTTCTTCTTCTTCCACTCTCGCTACACATGTGGGAAAATTTGTGACACGGCTTTGTGTTTGTTAAGGTTTAGTTTTGAGGGAGGTTTGCCTGTGTGGGGGATGAATGTAAACTTTCTTTGCTTGTTTTTTTGCGCCAACAGCAATATGACTAAACTAAATTCACAATTAACTGATCATTTCATGCACGCCATTCTTCCACACGCAAGACGCCAATGCGGTCACACTAGTAAGTCATTCCTCTCTTCCAAATTTTAGAGATGGAAGAAAATAGATATTAAAGTTAAGCCTTTTACCGGTTGAGTACGAAGTGAATGAGAGATTACGAAATAAGCCAGACGTTCTCAATAACCTCAGTCGATATGGTAGCAAATGACCTCATTGTTTCAAAATTATTCGCCAAGAGATGACGAACTTTATATTATCATTCTACTTTTTCTCCGTCTTGCAATAAGGTAATTTAACATGAAGCGATTACGTAATTAAATATAAAACACAATATATTATATCATTTTATACAATATTTACGTTTTTTCAGACCCAATACTTATACACATGAACACTTTATTGACCGAATATTGCGCTTAAAATGTTTCAGTGCAGTATCTCTGTCCTTGAATAAATGAATGAAATAACCCGACAGGTTAATAAATCAATACATGTCAAAATGGGTGAGTTGACGTGCCAAGTTTACGAATCAATGTGTCATGTTTTGCCCTTAATGAAGAAGCATACTAGGGTAAATATTTCAGTATATCATTACTGTACTGTTTATCTACAAATCTACAAATTATCTACAAGTCGCGCATTCTCGTTCCATTACCCAGACTCCAGCCAAAAGAAATAAGAAAAAACTATAAAAACACAAATACGAAAAAAACGCAGTCAATATAATCGACGACAAAAACATAGTAAGTAAGCATCATTAAAGATTTACAATCAAAAAAAAGAAGACACATCCCCTTAAGTGGTTGGAAAGTATGTTAATTATGCTAATACTCCGAAGTGCTATATGGCATCTGATGTCTGACACATTTATTTGCTTTAACCATTAACCATTATTACTGTACAATGATAGTTTAAAAACAACAGGTTTTTTCCTTGTCTGTGGAATATACCAAGGCTTAGTCAAAGATCTTTCCAAGTCTGGGGTCTCTTCTCTCTCATCTTTCTCTTTATTCTCGCTCTCTCTTTTCTCCCCCCCCCCCATTTCTCCCATTCCCCCTCTCTCCATTGATTTGTAATTCTTGTGACACACTGGAATTTTCTGGAGTTTCTTCTGTCGCGTCACAGTATTCTCGAACAAACTGGATCCATGATTTTTTTTTTTTTTATCTTTTTTTGTTTGTGTTATTCTAACGCGAACGAATATTTTTGCGCTCAATGATGCAGAGGGAAGTTATCTGAATATGATACTGTTAGACGACATATATGATGAAATATAATAACATACGTGTACAAATATATATGACGACTTTGCAGGCACATACGAGCACGTGTACCCGGGCGCCCACGCATACAACACACACACACACACACACACACACACACACACACACACACACACACACACACACACACACACACACACACACACACACACACACACACACACACACACACACACACACACACACACACACACACACACACACACACACACACACACACACACACACACACACACACACACACACACACACACACACACACACAGTCTGTTCGTTTATACGCACGTACATGTTTATATGGCCTATATTTTTATTGTAAGAGACTTTATCTGTGCTAACAACTACTGCGTACTTGAAGCAACAAGTTTCTCTCAAGTTTCTCTTATGAAAATCAAAAACCTCTTCTTACTACGAAACCCAAGGTCTATGGAAAACAACCAGCATGTGTTCAGTCCCTGCTTTTAAAAACGGTGGCTTCCACAGCGCTCTCCCTACTTCATAATTGAGCTTTTGTCTTCTGCATTCGCCGAGGTTCTCAGGAAGGCCGAGGTCAGTAGCCATGTGGTCGGTCCCGAGTGTGGGAACGGTCTGCATGCGGCCGTAGTGATGGCGAGGGAGCACGCACGCTGCCATGCACGCGAGGCGGGAAGTAGGCAACCAAGGTAAGGGAGTACGAGGCTTTCCACACGTCCGCCACCGACTCGGGTCCAGGAGGAACGACCCGCACCCCAGTCTGGCTAACTGTGAACTCTTCAAGTACCCACTTGGGCATTGCATAATAATACTAAAGGGAATGAAGGAGGGGTTCTCTGCTCTATATTTTGTCTTCGTAGGATTCCTTGATGCAGGATTCTTCTGGGTGAAATTTGTGGGAAATTTGTGGTTTGTTGTATGAGAGATATGTAAGGTTTATGGAATAGTAGTTAAATGGTTAGTTTGATTACATAGTGGAGTTATATTTCAGGAATTATGTTGATAAATACGCAAATTCCATACTTTATCTGTCTTTGTATTGCCACGCGAAGCCAGAAAAGGATGACACGTAAATAAAAGATGTTAGACGTGTTATAAAGGATGTCAGCAAACATCTGTTTCGCTTTTGCATGAAGGTCAAACGCCACACTTGTTTCGATTCCGTGTACACAACATGAATCATAGAGACAAGATCATGAAATGAAAAAAAGAAGAAGAATACAGACCAATTATCCAACCACAACACTCGTCTGCCTTCTCCAAAAAAAAAAAAAAAAAAATGCTTCGAGAAATAAATTCAACATACATTTCGAAGAAACTCAAGGGCTGGGTGGGTGGGGGTGGGGGGGGGTACAACTTTTGATTAAGGCAACTAACATTCACTTCAACAACAGCTAATTTTGATATTGATGTGTCTGACATTTACATCAACATCCATGAGCGAGTCACCATGCACGACACATACCAACTGTTTCACGATTAAGCTCGACTATTAGCTACGATTAGACAAGATCTTTGGTGCGATTAGACAGCATGATAGATAGAATTAGGCAATTCACACACCCTATCATCAAGACAGGCCTAGCGCCACTCCCTGGGCTCTCTCGCTGACAACCAAGGTCAGGGAGGCAAAGATAGATGCTGGAGTCGCGATGCCACACGATTTTTATCTGTGATGTGGCATAAGCATGGTCTGGTGAGTTTATTTATGTAAGAGTATTTGGGAAGATGTTCTTGATGCTTTTCTTTCGTTTTTTATTATTATTTTAATTCCTGGTATTATGAAGTAATGAGTTCTAGAGCATATCAGAAATTTATGGGGTCGATAAGGTCAGAGAGAGAGAGAGAGAGAGAGAGAGAGAGAGAGAGAGAGAGAGAGAGAGAGAGAGAAGAGAGAGAGGAGAGAGAGAGAGAGAGAGAGAGAGAGAGAGAGAGAGAGAGAGAGAGAGAGAGAGAGAGAGAGAGAGAGAGAGAGAGAGAGAGGAGAGAGAAGAGAGAGAGAGAGAGAGAGAGAGAGAGAGAGAGAGAGAGAGAGAGAGAGAGAGAGAGAGAGAGAGAGAGAGAGAGAGAGACTTGGTCCACGTGTTCTCCATATCCGCCAAGGAGTTACCTCTCCCAAGCAACTTGGATTGCAACATGTGAGGGATATCAACAAACCACGTGATGCTAGGTCGCGCCATGCGGTCCTGCGCCCACATGGGGAACACACACAAATGCACGCAAACATTCACACACACATACGCAAACACACATATACACGCAATCACACACATGCACGCAGGCACACATACATTCACGCAATCACATACATGCACGTAATCACACATACATTCACGCAAGCACACATACATGCACGTAATCACACGCATGCACGCAAGCACACATACACACAAACAAAGAGAGGGAGGGAAACAGACAGACAGAGACAGACAACGTATATGATTAAGACAGCAATCTTGTCTGTCTAGAGTATATACATATACACACCATTACTTAGTACAGACAATCTCGGTAACAAAACCTGTTATTTTCTATTAATAACTGAACGGAGAATATAATGCTAATATACACGCTGTTGTTAGACGCATCTTCAGCACAGAATAAAAATAACGCATTTATCATAATCCAAGGTTGAGGTAAACACGATAAGAAAAGAGAGATTAAAAGTATTTGTGTCCGTTTCTCTGCCTTTATAGTTGTAAATTGTCTGTGTAAATTAATGTCTGTCTTTTTTCTGTCTATGTCTGTATCTCTCCCCCCCCCCTCTTTCTCTCTCTCTCTCTCTCCTTCCCTTCCTTTCTTCCTTTCCCAGTTTCCTTCCATCCCTCCCTCTTCCCTCTCCTCCCTCTCCCTCTCTCTCCTTCCCTCCTCCCTCTCTCCCTCCCTCTCAATACACACCAACCTGCATCGTCCAGCAAGTGATAACCTTGGCTCCTTATACAACGTCTTATTATTCTGCAAGGAGCCACGGGGTGTCTCGAGGTAGCCAGAAGACACAGCGAGGGAGCGAGAGGTACCCTGTGACGTCATCAAGTCGCGGGCACGATTGTCTCTTCTCTGGATATGGTTTAAGATTTTTTCTTTTTGTGATTTGATGTGTTCCGTGTTTTTTTTTTTTTTTTTATACTTTCGTGTTGTATTTTGTTATTAGCTTGGTTATGTAAGAATGTGTGTGTGTGTGTGTGTGTGTGTGTGTGTGTGTGTGTGTGTGTGTGTGTGTGTGTGTGTGTGTGTGTGTGTGTGTGTGTGTGTGCGCGCGCGCGCGCGTATTACGTATATGTAGATGTAGGTATATACCCACACCTATTCATCTCTATATTATGTATATCTATTTAGATAAATACACATGTATATGTATGTGTGTGTATGTATATATGTATGTATGTATATGTATATGTGTGTATATATATATATATATATAATATATATATATATATATATATATATAGAGAGAGAGAGAGAGAGAGAGAGAGA